TACCAGAAACAACTGGAAATATTACTCAGAATGGAGACACCTCCCATTCCACTTCCCTGTTTTTGCTTCAGCAGACCTAGGGTGGGCCCACAAACCTGCAATTTTAACAAGCGCTTCCTGATGATTTTAATGAAGTGGTCCAAGGACCACACTTCGAGAAATCCTAACCTAAAGAGCTGATGTTTGTGTGCTATTAATTTGATGTCTACCACGCAGAGTTCATGATATCTGGGGTGTCTCTGTTAACGTAATTACTCTAAAGTTCACTGATTCTTCCTCCCACCTACGACCACGGATTGCTTTCCCACATGGGATCACACTTAAACTCCAGAGTATTCCTGGGTGGTCGGCAGCAGTGCGTACTGTTATCCTGCTGTATAGACAAGGCTGATGGAAGGGTAGTGACTTACCTAAAGTGTCCCAGTGATGGGACCCTGTTCTCCTCACTCTTGCTCCAGGAACCTGTCTGCACACGCGCCAGCACACTTGGTTCTTCTCTGTCAGCTCCTGCTTCTGAGGCTCAGAGTCCACGCCCTTCTCTGATGGTCCACTGGAAGGAGAGTCAGGGGATAAGACGGCACATGGACTGGAGTAAAGTGAGAGGAGGGGAAAGCACATGAACACGGGAAAGGGGTGAAGGTGGCCTTGTCTGTCCCCACTTGTCCACTGGAAGCTGTGCAATGATGCTTCGCCTCTTCCCCAGCTCCATCACACAGCCCCACCCACACACGCAGTGACACTGAAGCTCATACATCACAGAAATGGGGGCTTATCCCTGCTGGTTGTTACATGTCCAAATATTCTCTCTGGTAGTCATGCTATTATGTTATGTCAGAGGCATCACACTGACAGAATGAAGGAGGGAATGCTGGAATGGGGAACTAACATTTGCTGAGGGCCTACTAAATGCCACGTGCTGTAGGTTGCTATTTTCAGACTTTTTCTCTTCATTTTCTCAAAGTAATGCTCTGAGGTGGGCATCATAATTTCCTCCCTACAGAGTAGGAGAGAGTCTCAGAGAGCAAAGTACATATTCAAAGAATTCTAAAGAGGTGTCAAGTGGACATAGAAACCAACTTGAAGGGGCTTTCACTGGCCAATTCTGGGACAATTTGAGCATCAAAATAAATAATTATAGCATCAGATGGTAACCCTTTGAGCAAAATAGGAATTTAAGTCATACTGATATAAATAAAAACTATATACAAATAAGGAGAAAAAGCTCTACCTCTAGTCAAATTTCAACAAATAAACTTGCAAGAAATGAGGAAATTAGAGAAGCAATATTTGACAACTATCATAGTAAGAAATGCTTCAGGCTGGAATTACAAAACAAGGCTGAATCTGCACCAAATTCCACAGCAGTTACTGAGTCACCATGGTAACCATGCTGGCCAAGCTGGAATAAAACAACCACCACTGTGAGTCGGTTCGTATTATCTGCTAGGAAGTGAACAGGACGGACACGACCACAGTAATTAACCTCAAGTATTCCTCACAATAAACATTCCTGGCAGCTTCAGCAATACACATATAGATATATACATACTCATATATGTACATGCTCTCTCCTGCTATCTGTCTCACCACCCAAGAACCCAGGAATTCAGTGAGGTGAATTTGCTGGGGGGCAAAAAAGAAAAACCCCACAATTCAACTGGTTCAATTCTAACTACACATATAAAGTTGAAAGTTACCATAACTATTTTCTTTTAGTGATTGATTTTTCTGGAGAAGACCTGTAAAACTGTCTATGTGACGTTTTTCTCCTTAGTTTCAGTACATTGCCAATAATGTCTAAACGCTGATATAGAAACACAGTCAGATGCATTTTATGCATCAAGTAGCATTTCTTTCCTAGAGCAGCCTTTGCTTTCGACCAAAAAGATCCCCCAATGGCTATTGTTAAACATTTGGCTGCTGACAGTTTAGTGAAAACATAATAATTGGGACCTGTAATCACAAAATAATGCCATCAAAAAGTATGAAATACATATGGATAATCTGTGCACAGAGGTGCAAGTCCTGTTCACCGAACATTACAAAACACTGCTCAGTGAAATTAAAGAAGACCTAAATAAATGGAGAGACAACTGTTTTCAGGGGTTGGAAGATTCAGTATTGTTAAGATGTCACTTCTCCCCAAATTGATCTATATTCAATGCAATCCCAACAAAAATTTTAGCAAATATATATTTTTAAAAAATTGACAGGCCAATTCTGAAGTACATGTGGAAATGCAGAGGACTTAGACTATGAAAAACAACTTTAAAAAAGAAGAAGAAAGTTGGAGGATGAATACTCTCAGATTTGCAGACTCATTATAAACCTACAGTAATCAAGACAGTGTGCTATTGTAATCAAGGTAGATAAGCAGATTGAAGGAAAAGAACAAAGTGTCTAGAAATAGATGCACCCACATATATGGACAACTGATTTTCGAAAAAGGGGCAAAGGCAATTCAGTGAAGAAATGATAGTCTTATCAACAAATGGTGCTGGGACAAGTGGATATTACATACACAAATATAAACTGTGATCCATATATCAAACCATATATAAAAGTACACTCAAAATGGATCACAGACCTAAATATAAAACCTAAAGCTATCAACCTTCTAGAGAAACACAGGAGAAAATCCTTGTGACCTCAGGTTAGGTGAAGATTTCATAGATGAGTTACCAAAACTACAATTCATAAGTGAACTAATACATAAATTGGATTTCCTCTAAATTAAAATTACTGCTCTCCCTAAGACGCTGTTGAGAGAATGAAAAGACAAGGCACTGAGTGAGAGAAAAATACGTGCAAACTACATATCTGACAAAGGACCTGTATTCAGAATATAGAAAATGTATCAAAAGTCAATTAGAATAAAGTAGACACTACAATAAATAAGTGGGGGAAAATTTGAATAGACACTTCACCAAAGAAGATATAGAAACAGCAAATATGCACATGAAAATATGCTCAACATCATTAGGGAATTTTAACTTAAAACTACAATGGGATACCACTATACCCCCATGAATATGACTATAATTAAAAAGACTGATCATAGCAAGCATTGGCAAGGTTGTGGAGGACGGAACTCTCATACACTGCTGGTGGGAATGAATGGTATGATCAGTTTGGCAGTTTCTTAACAATGTTAATCTTACATCCTCTATATGATCCAGCCACTGCACTCTTAAGCATTTACTCGAGAAAAAGAAAACATATGTCCATGCAAAAACTTATAGACAAATGTTCATTGAAGCTTTAATTTAAAAAAAATTCAAACAAATTGCAGTATATCCAGATACTGGGATACTACTGATCAGTAAAACAGAAGGGACTATTGATACATGCAACAAAACGGACAAATTTAAAATAAATAGGCCAAATGAAAGAAGCCAGGCCAAAACCAAACCAACAAAAAAAACTTTATGATTCCATTTTAATAAAATTCTAGGACATGAAAACTAATCTATAGTGAGTGAAGATCAGTGGTTGCCCCAGTACACAGCAGAGGGGAGGGGTAGGGAGGCCAGGTAATAGAGAACTAAATCTGTTATGTACTGGGAAAGTAAACATAACTATATTTAAGAGTATCTGGTTATTTTAGGAGATATGACTGCGTATCATTATAAGATACTCTATTTTTGAAAATATAAATTCTTATAACTGACATTTTAAACTAACATTTGTAAAATTTCTGGTTTCTTAAAATTTTTCATTATAGAATGGATAAAAATGTGGCTACCAAGGAAGAAACTATATTACAATCTCAAATTGCTAGGAAGACTTTCTAACCAAATGCATACTTCAACACCCATCTGAGAGAAACATGGGAATCACTGAATAATCTTTACACAGTGAGAACAATTTAGGTATATTTACTCCAAATGCACGTTAAAGATCATGTTCTTTTCTCAGGCTGAACAATTCACTGCTTTCAGAGAAAAGAGGGTGTCTCCATGATGGGCCTCAAGGGTTGCTACAAAGCACGTAGCTGCTGATGGAATGACATTCCACCTGCTAAACCTCTTCTCCCATGATGAGATCAAAGTAGCTTCTCTCCTTTGAGGCTCCTTTGCGAACCTCACAGGAGCGATTCCACAACATGCTTTCGTTCAGATCTAGGAACTCACTTGGGCCGGGCCTCATATCCTACCAGGGATGTGAAGTGTCGGGGTCTCCTGAGGACGGCCGCCCTTGAATCTGGAGCAGATGGTTCAGCAGCCATCAGGATACAAATCCTTAGAACCTGCCTCCTTCAAACGCCTGATAGGAGCTCGGCCAGTGGCATGAAGAGCTGCACAGGGAGAGACAGATCCAGCAATCACTATGCTTTCCTGGAGTAACAGTGTGCCCCGCAACATGCTAGGCACTGGGTTAGTGACAATGACACTGATACAAGTGGGTAGAGATCCTAACAACTGGAACATACAATGGGCTTCTCATCAGGGTCTTTTTTTCTCTCTTTTCCTCCCCTATCCCCTAAGAACAAAGTTAAAAACAATAACAAGTGGCCGGAATTCGAACAGGCATTCACGGTCCCGCAATAACCACAGGGCCATGGGCTTGCTCATGTGTTGTCACTGAACGCTCACAGCGAGCCTGGGGGTTAAGCATTCTTACTCCGTTTGACAGAGAGGGGAGCTGGGGCCCAGTGAGAGCCAGTCCCTGTCTTACCTCCCGCGCCCCTGCCTTTAGAAGGAAAGTATCTCCAGGGCACTCTTGGGGCAGGACGCCACACTCGCTGGGACCGTCGGGACCCCAGTGCCTTTACCCACGAGCCCGCCGGGGAACCAAGTCCCAAAGCGGGAAAGAGGCGACCTGGATCTGGGTCCCTTTGTCTCCCCCACAGCCCAGTGCGGGGACTCAGCACACTCAGCTGAATCCCGAACACCTCAAGGCAGGAGTCTGCACTTCACGCCAGGCCATTTCTGTCTCTACCGTAAAGTCGTCACGGTCGCCATATTGACGTCAGGTTTCTATGGCAACCATGCCACGCAGGCTTATCCTCCACACCGGAAACCCCTCCGCATGCTCCTCCTCCCCTACGCCTTTAGCTGAACGCAAAACTTCTTCGCTCTTCAGGCTGCGGTCTGAGAAAGCAGGCTATGAGAGGCGCTAGACTGGAATCCTGGCAATTGGTGAAAATCTGCCCATGTTGTTGGAACAAAGCATGTCCCTGTCGTCAGGAATTTTGTTTGCTTTAAAGAGACAGTATGGGAGTGTTATCAGTACACAGACCCCGGGAGGTGTCCTAGGGTTCTTGGAGATGGGATAGCCTAGGAAGGTGGACGCGTAAAATCACACGCCATGCTAAGTGGCTAGCCATCTGTGGAAGAGAACTAAGAGACTGTCTATAATCATGCGACTGAATGATCTAGGAGCATGCACAAAAAATGTCATTTAAGCAATTTGGGAATTATTTCAACGAAGCAGGCCTAGAATATTATAGTTATTTAGTAGGCAGAAATTTAGTCAATTGAACCATACATTGGTTTGTCCTGAGGGAATTGTGATTATCCATTCTTGATAATTTCTTCCATTTGGAGGGGCATTCATGACCTAAACACTTCTAGCCTCTCTCTACACTCACTTCTCTATCGCAGGAATGACTTACTCAAGTAGTGAGATTGGAAGGAGAAACAAATTACAGAGCCCCGGACCTCTGCCTTCAAAACTCTTGTTGATAAGTTGCCTTTATGGAGCACCTGTTCTGCTTTGCCCTCGGAGGTGAGTCTTACAACTGGCCCACAGCTCTTCTCCCCTTTCTGTGTCTTGCTGGCTCCCAACTATTCATATGGTCTTGCTCCAAAATGCTTGAGGTTTTAAGGGGCCCACCCCCTGCTTCCAAATATATCCCTGCTCCATTTCTGAGCTCTAAACCAACTAAGAAATGTGAAAAAAGAATAAGGAGAATAATATATTGACTTTATTCTTTATAGAAGTGATATTGGAGAAAGTGGCTTAGTTCTGCAGGCGAGGCGTTTTCTATTAATGAACCCCAGAATTAATCAGAATTGTCCACTCAGCAGTGCTGTATTGGGCCTGTCACAAAGGCCACAAACTGCAATGCATATCACTCTGCTGTCTGGTGAAGGAGCCCTGTCTATGTGTGCTTGAGGAAAAAACTTCCCTTGCAAAGCTATCCCTGTATAGGAGAAAGTGTTTCAGGATGTCTTCTTTAACGAATACTTCTGAAAGTGAATAAATACTCCTTATTCTTATTGCATACTCATCAAGCAAACTTCTGAGGATATGGCTTTTCATGTGACTGATTGAACAGTTTTGAGCAACAGCCTCTTGGTGTATTACCAGGCATGATTGGTATAGAGGCTCATTTTATGGCAGGGTATTGGAATTAGATTCTAAATTCCAAGAGTAGGGTGAAAATTATATATCACAAAAATTTTCATTGGAGAGTTCTTCAAGAAGGAATTGAGGAAATGTTCAAAAATCTATACCCACACATAAATCCAAACGCAGACTAGAGCTAAAAGTGGTAACGAAGTTCTACTAAGCCTTCAAGGATAAGAGAATCTCTGTCTTATCCAATGATTACAGATCACAAAAAAAGAGGGAGAGTTCAACAAAACCGCATGTTTTGGATATCCATTTCTGCTTAACAAAATGCTCTCAAAACAATAGCTATTTATAATCTCTCAGGATTCTCTGGGCGGACTGTGCTTAACTGGGTGGTTTTCTGCTCCACGTGGAGTCTGTCACCTGGGCTGCAGTCATCTGGACGCTCCATTTGGCTGGGACATCCAGGAGAGCTCACTCACATGGATGAGGATTGGTGCTGGCCTCTTCTGGGGACTCAGCTGGGGCTGTTGATCCACCTTGTTGAGAACCTTAGTTGTAGCCCAGAGAGCCCTCCCTGTGCAGGGTTGCCAGATTAAATTTAACCCAGTTAAATTTGAATTTCAGATAAACAAATAGTAATTTTTAGTGTAAGTATGGCTCATGTAATGTTATTTTGTTTATTTGAAATTCAAATTCACCTGGGCATACTGTATTTTTATTTGCTAAATCTGGCAATTCTAGGAGATGAGCCTGTGAATCTGTAAGTTTAACAATCATTTGAGAAGGCTCTTCCAGTGAGGCAGGTGTGAGGAAAATAAGCATCAGATTGACAATGAAAACATAATGGTGATACCTGATGTTGGGGGAATGAAGGGGCAACGGACACTCACATACAATGTTGGTGCCAAATGGGCATATTTGTTTTCTGAGGCCTGTGTTATTATGGCTTAATAATTTGAATGGCCTTTGATACAGAAGCCCTATTTCTACCAACGAGGGAGTTGCAGGTGAGCATTTAGAAAAGAATGATTCTGACCTGCATCCAGGTTAAGGTGCCCTGACTGAGGGGACAGTTCAAGGAGCCACATGAGTTTCCTGCTCCAGGGAGGAAAGACAGCTATTATTTATGGACCGGATGGTTGATCTTGGCCCAGCTCTTCATTCTTCACTTAGTGGCTGGATTTAGTCTCAGGACAACCCTGGTAGTGAGGTTTCTCTATCATCTCTTCATGGATGTGTGTGACTATAAAGTATGTGCTCCTGTGCACAGAGTCAGATAGCAAAGAGGTTGCTCCCCATGCCCACTGCCAGAGCCAGGGATGGGACCTGGAAGGCTGGGAAACTTTAGTTGCTGGTGGCAGAGCTTTAGTGAAGGTATCAGGACACAGTATGCTGAGGTGCTTAATCTCTGTTCCCACTTTGTTTACCTACCTGCACCAGGGAGCCAGGCTTGGTGCCTCTTCCCCCTGCTGCAGGGGAGGTTGGTGGCAGGGCTGGAAGCAGAAGCTGTCTGAAGCCAGTATTTCTTCTGTCCTTTGTGAGAACTTAAACTTTTGAAACAATTGTGCTGCTTGCACCTAGTAGGGAAGGGAGGGCCTCTGAGGACAGAGACAGGGCAAGGAAAGGAGATTTCTCCCAGACGGAGATGAGGTTGGAAGTCTACAGGTCCCTCCTGGAGTAGGAACCTTAGTACTTCTCTGTACCAATGCTTGAGATGGCTCCATCGAGTCTGGGCATCCAGATTGCCTGTTTGGATTGCCTGTGAGACAGATTGTCCTGTTTGGGTTGAGAGATGGATGGCACGGGGTCAGGGGCCTGAAGACACAGAGCCAGCTAGGGCAATGGTAAGCTGAGCCATGTGCAGTGTGGACAGATGAGTATTGATGGCAGGGGCCTCCCCAGACTGTATGTGGAGGATAAATTCCCACAAGTGGGACTGCTTTGTCAAAGAGCATGAGTATTTAACATTTAAAATAATTATTGTCTAGTTGAAATTTAAAATCTCTTAACTAATATATATCCCAACCAACTAAAAGGTGAGAGCATGTATTTATCCAGTAAACAATAATGGGCTTCACAACATTATTAATATTTGCTAATGTGAATTCCTGTAATTGGAACGTTAGATTACTTTTCATTTTTCCCTTTTTTCAATATAAATGGCATAGTTCACATGTGCTTTTCTAAATGTAAACATAATGGTCCAATTTTATGTCTCAGAATATGGCCTGGAATAATTCTAGAGTTAGACAAGAAAACCTGACCAGTGACTTTGTATTTATGCTGCATCCTGTTTATTGAAATTATGGCGTCATGAGAACTCCATACACTTCTGGGAGAGGACAGATTGGTGCAACCTCTTTGCAGAGACATTTGACAACATCTATGAGAGAAGAACGTGAGGTCCTGTCAGCGCTGCACCCTTATGTCTGGACTCTAGAGTCCCAGGCAGGTGTGAAAGCATGCTCATGGTAGCAGGGCTAAAAATAGCAAAACAGTCCCAAAGTCACCTTATTAGGGAAGTCTTAGAAACACTATTTTCAGAGAATAAATTTCAATGTTATACATAAATATATTACTTATAGTCAGAGATAAAAATATGTAAATCACTTAGGTGTTTTGTTTGTGTTTCATGACTAAACAACAAATTCTGGATGGAGGATCCCTCTGGAAGTGAGGCAATCAGAGAATTTCACAGGGGCATTTACTTTCTCTGATGTTTTCCTTCATAACCTTGGTTGTGTACATGTTTGCCTATTATAATATTTACTATACTTTTTTAAAAGTCTGAAATATAACATATTTGACATGAATAAAGCTCTAATGGACTTTATCTCTAATTAGCAAGTAACCCATTGTCTATTTTGAAAATGTACAAAATGTATCCAAATACCAATGTCTATATATTCATAACTTTCAACCCCACGATGCACTAGTAACAACTGTTATCTTGGTAGTGTATTTTCTCCAGTTAGCATCTACACCCAAACTCCGTGGCTGAAAGCTACACCCATTTATTAACTCACGGATCTGTGGGTCAGAAGTCTAGTACAGCATGATTGTGTTCTCTGCTCAGGGTTTCATGAGACTGGAATCAAGGTGTCAGTGTAGGCTGGATTGAGGTCTCATCTGCAGGTTCTGGGGAAAATCTTCCAAGATCGTTCTTGCTGCTTGCAGAATTTCCACGATCATTCTTGTTCCTCATGGCTGTTGGACTGTGGCCCTCATTTCCTTGATGGCTGTCAGCTCCGGGTTCTCTCAGCTCCTAGAGGCTACTCTAATTCCTTGCCATATGGACCCCTCCCTTTTTGAACTAGCAACAGTGCATTGATTCCTTCTTGTACTTAGAATCTCTGATGTCCCCTCCTGTGGACAGCTGGAGAAAATTCTCTGCTTTTAAATGGCTTGCCTGATTAGGTCAGGCCCACCCAGATAATCTGCATTTTGCCATATAAGCTAACATAATCATGAATGTGATATGTCTTCGTATTCATTGATTCTACCCACACTCAAAGGGGGTGGGATTATACAAGGATGAGGATCATTGGAGGTCATTTTAGAATTCTACCTACCACGTGGAGTTTCAGACCAAAAAAGAAGTCATGCAACCTTCAACTATTGATGTCAAGATTTAAACTGAGTTTTCTGACCCAAAGCTCAGGCCACTGCTATAGAGCATCATAGTGTTAGGGCTGAGGCCAGCACATGAGGAATGACTCTCCTAAGGTTCTGTAGTCAGGGATGTGTCTGGTCTCCTGATTCCAGTCTTCTGTCCAGCATCCACAATATTTTGCTCTATACTGTCTCTCCTACCTTGGAATCAGTGGGAAACTGCTCTTCCTCCAGTGTCAAACTAGATGATAAACTAAGGGGACAGGAAAGCATATGCTTTAACAGGAGATGATACGGTGATTTTTTTCTCTTTCCCTAACTTCCACAGGTAACTCATCCCATTACTCAGAACTGGCACCAAAGCAAATACATTATGGGGATATTGCTACATTTCCAGATGCTTTCTATGGCACTTATGCTCTTTGGTTTAGGTCAGTGTCATCTCCTCTCTGGGAGGGAGGAGGCTGGTGGGCCAGGACTGATAGGTGTTGAAGTCCTACCGTGTCCCATATGTACCTTACAGGTCTTCTCATTTACACCTCAGGGCAGACTGTGAGAAAGGTATCATGAGTTCCACGTCACAGATAACCAAGCTCAGCCTCATGGAGACTAAGACCCTCACCAGAAAATGGCAGGTTGGATGAGGTTCTGACTCTTGCCCTCCCCACAGTATAACCATCAGCTTCCCATTTAGAAGGTGATAGTTTTATACTTCCCCGGCATTGTCTCCTCATGAGTACATACTCAACAACCTCTTTTGTTCAGGAAGAGAGGTGATTAAATCTTTCCCCTTGGGCCAAGAAGCCTAGCTGTGGGGTCACATGAATTGACTGGTCCCTGAGGTCTCTCCCACACCCAGTGATCCCATTCCACTGACATCAGGCACAGGCATGTGACTAGATGTGGCCAATGAAATGTAAGAGGAAATGGAGTGTGCCCCTTCCAAGCAGAAGTGTTAAGACTCATTGAGAGTTTCCACCAGTACTCTTTTTCCCTCTGCTTCAGCAATGTCCCAGATTTCTTGTGAGGTAGTTTAACTTGTTTAATCCTCCAGTAACACTAGAATATGAGAATTTAAATGATGATAGGAATGCTTGGGAAAAGGGAAGCTAAATGGCTTATATGCTTATACCCAAATTTGGCCTACTAGATGATCAATTCAAGTCTTATGCCCTAAAACTGAGTCAGTAGCCAGGAGAAAGTACGTGTCTTACTTAACATCATGTAGAAAATAGTCAGGGACCAATGTTTTCTTCCTTTTGCTCCATTGCTTTCTCCAGAAGACTCATCATCATGCCTTCTACTTCTCTTGGAATTTGTGTTCACTGTGCCACAAGATGAACTCAGATACCAAGTTAGTAGGCACTCCTGATGTGAACTCTCCAGGAGCACCCCAAAAGAGGTCAGTAAAGGTACACTGATTCCATGGAAACAGTGTAACAACTTTTCCCCTATCCCACTTCCATTAGATAAGTCTACAACACAGAAGTGGCACCAACTCTTATACACAATGTGAGTCTGTGTGTGTTTAATTTTCCCTCCTGTCATCATATTTCCAGAAGCTCTTTAGAACATAGTTATGCCTTTTAGGGCTATGTAGTTTAGCTTAAAGTAATCTTGGAAGCAGAAGTTAGGAAGTGGAGTGGGAAGGAAACTAACACTTCAGGGGCCTGCTCCTGGTCAGACACTGTGTTAGGAACTTTACATACTGTTTCTCTAGGTTTTTAGAACTGTTCTGTAAGTTAGATATTAGTATTCCCTGTTCTAACTCATTCCTCCCCCAAGGAATGCTCTACTAAGCCTCATAGAAGTTAAATACAGGGGCTGGCCCCGTGGCCAGGTGGTTAAGTTTGCACACTCCTCTTCGGCAGTCCAGGGTTTCACTGGTTTGGATCCTGGCCAGAGACATAGCACCACTCATCAGGCCACGCTGACGTGGCATCCCACATGGCACAACCAGAAGGACCTATAGCTAGAATATACAACTATGTACTGGGGGGCTTTGGGGAGAGAAAGAAGAAAAAAAGATTGGCAACAGATGTTAGCTCAGGTGCCAATCTTAAAAGAAAAAAAGCAGTTAAATACATTTTCCAAGGACACATGCCTGATAAGAGGCAGCATGGTTATGGTAATCCAGGGTTGTTGAACTTCAAGGTTGGATTTTACCCTGAATCTATGCACATAGAGTGGGTAGTAACACTTACCTTGCTCTAGAGCAGGTTTTCTCAACCTCAGCACTATTGACATTTTGGGTCAGAGAGCTCTTTGTTGTGAGGGCTGTTCTGTGCATTGTAGTGTGATGTTTAGCCTCTACCCAACAGGTTTAAGTAGCACCCCTAGTTGTGACTACCAAAAATATCTCAAGACATTTCCACATGTCTCCTGGAGATGGGGAATCATGCTGGCTTTGGCCTTACATGGGAAAGTATTTCCCTTCTAGAAACTCAAGATGTTTTTCTGGATGGAAATGACTTTATTCTCTGGTCCAGACCTAGCTGGCTGAGAAAGAAGGCTGGTATGATCCTCTTTGACAGGTGAGGCCACATGTTGTGAGGTAACTTACCCAAGGTCATCGCAGAGTTGGGAGGTGAGGTCTGCCACCAGGATCCAGGGAGATCTTTTGGCTGGTACTGCAGGGTCTTGTCCAAAATGCAGAGAACTAGCTTTTGATCCAATGTAGCACCTCACCTTTCAAGGGTTCAATGGAAAAATGCTTCGCTGAACTTATCTGCAGGGAGAAGTAATGGAACATGACAGCAGGTGGAACAAGAGGAAACAGGGCAATGATTTTCTTCCTTTTCCCCAACTCTGCCAGGGGAAGAGAGCAGAAAATAGCAGATTTCCAGGGGCTTCTGTCTTTGTCCCCTTTCCTAACCATTTGCCCCCACCCTTTTTGACAGTAGAGGAATGTGGACAGAAGTCAGGAATCTGGGGTTCCCTGAGAGGGAAGCAGAAAGATGGAAAGTGCCTGATAACCAGTATGGTGCATCAGGAAACACAGGTACTGGAGCCCATGCCCTGGGAGTTGGTTCCTCCACCAAGCTCTCAGTCTCCCCCTGTTTCTGTTTGCAGTGCCATCACTCTAACACATAGCAATGAAGCTCACACATAACACAAATACATATTTCCTAAGGCAGGTTAAGAGGGGTGAAGTAAGTGACTTACCCATGAGACGTGAACATCACAGAGTTACTGTTTGGGACCTGGTATTGGGACCTGGGGAGATGATCTGTCTGTCTTGTTCCAGTGTCCTGTCTAGCAGACAGAGTATCTCACCCTTCAGGAGCTCAAAGGAAACACTCTTCTCTCATGTAAAACAAAGGAGTAAGATAAGGGGACAGGAAAACATGGGGAATAGGGCATGGGGCAGTGTGACTTCATTCTCTTACCCAAAACTCCACTCATGGGATACGTGACTCCATTGAATGGAAATGGTGTAATCACCTTCTCCCCTTCCCCCAGCCCCATCAGGGCACTCATTCCACCACAGAGAAATGACATTGACTCACGGTCAAAATATAAACGTGTGTGTATTTTCCTTCTTCTCTCTACATGCTCTCCGGATCATGCTGCCCCTCAAATGTATTCACATCTGTAGTTCACTCCAGCCCCCTCCACTGCTAGTGGGGCAAGGCTCTGCTGGATTCCTGACTCTGGCAAGTCCATCCTCAGAAAGTGGGAGTCCCTCTTCCTTTCCCTTCAAATGTACTGCTCAGCCTCTGTCTTCACGGGCCCACTGAGGCTGGAAGGAAAAGGGCCGTGGCCCCCTGTCAGACAGTGCTGTGCAGTTCCTGCATTCCCAGGCCGTGGATGCCTGCTGATGAGCATCTTTGTGAGCCCAGTGGATCAGTCCAGGAGAGCAGGGAGGTAGCAGGGTCCTCCTCTGGGAGAGAGCTGCTTCTGGGAAAGAGTTGGAACTCATGGGTTCTGTTTGGTCCAGCAGTTTTAGACATGGAGAGAGTTACTCAGAAAGTAAGGCAGTTCGTGGGGTAGATTGTTTTAAAGGAATTAATCTAAGTCTCCTGGCAAAGTAGGGGAGCTGCCTCTGTTGGGGGCCAGGTAGAGTGCTTCTGAAAAATCCCCCTGGCACCCCAGGAGCAATTGGGAAGGAAGATAGAGGGGCCTTGGATGAGTCCTCTCCTCGAAGTTCCTGGGGGAAGAGGAACCCCATGTCCAGCACAATCCACTCAAAGCAAGAGTAAGGATTTATGGTGCAGCCCAGAAGGAGATAACTGCATGCGGTAAAGCAGTGACTGCACACTTTTAATGAAAGCTGTGGCATTTCTCTTCCCTCCTGATGTGCTGGCAGAAAAGAATCACAGGTCATTTTTTAGTACAAAATGAGGAGCGCCAAATAAATCAGCCAGTGAATAAAGTTCCTAGGAAAACTAGCAGTAGCTCCTCCACCCAAGGCTGAACTGGAAGCCAGGTGTCTGAGGAGCAGCTCTGAATGCTAGCTTCTTAATCAAGGTTCCGGAGGGAACACCATGGACAGGTAGTAATGAGGCCACTCCGTTGCCAGGTCAACAGACATTGACCTCCTCTGGTTGGACTCCTTTCAACCTCTGGCCCAAATCTCCTGTTACTGTGAACTTTGAGTGAAACAGGAGACAACAACCTGGAGGGTTTGTGGCTGTGGGAAGTCTCCTCTGTCAATGCTTCAAAATGATGAATTCCCTGCTGGTGGCAGAGTGAAGAGAAGGCCTTTTTTGAGTGAGAAATCTGTCCAGCATAATGAGTGGTTGGTCAGACATGATTCCCTATCACTGTTTCAGGTTGCAGCTAATCCTTTCTCTTCTGCTCCTCATCACATTAGCATCACGCTTGGCGTTTCAAACGTGGAAACAGCTTCGGACAACTTAACTCCAGGAGACGCAGCCTCTCTAAGATGAAAGATTCTCAAACTCAGTTGACGTCTGCAACCAACTTTCAGAAGAAAAGAACAAAGAACAAACTGAAAGAGGGAAGATCGTGTAGTCCATTGCCATTGCCTTTCGGTATTGAATAGCTGCCTCCGGCTTTGCTCACAGAACCGTGGATCTCCACACCATCTGGCATACGAGCAGAAAATACAAAGATACAGCGAATTTCCTTGTCTCTGCCTCTGCATATTTTTGTCACAATCTTCCTAGAAGTTTCTCGTCTTGTACAGGTGTTGTAAGTAACCTTTACTGTAAATATCCTTTACTATGTGACAGGGATTGTGTTAAGAGCTCTCCTTGCATCATCTAATCCTCAGCACAAGCCTATGAGGTAGGCACCACTCCTATGCCTGTTTTACCAAAGAGGAAATGGAGGCTGAAGGGGCTTGTCCGCAGCACCAGCTAATTATAAGTGGCAAGACTGGGACTCAAACCCAGACCAAATGACCCCCAGACACACACTCTCAACTCCTAGGATGTTCCCTGGTGGGCAGGGAGTGTGATAGCTCGCTGTAGTCCTGGGGGTACAGCTTGGGGAAATGGAATGATGGTCACCTCAGTGTTTTCTTAGCTTAACACGAACTCCTTTAAGGCTGTAGCCTGGTGCAGAGGCAAGACAGCCAAACCTCTTAACATTTCTAAGTAGCCTGATGACACAGTTGCATAGAGTAGAGGGATTCTTTACACATCACAAATAACGTTCTTGTATTTTTATTTTTTAAGATATTCTTTGAAACACATTTCCTTGCAAGTTCACTTGGAAGTTGTTTAAAAGATAACAAAATGTAGGTTCTTTGGGATTTTCTATGCAGGCAATCATGTCATTTGCCAATAGGGACAGTTTTATTTTTTCTTTTCCAATTTGTATGCCTTTCATTTCATTTTCTTGCCATCCTGCAATGTCTAGAACTTCCAGCACTATGTTGAATAAGAGTGAAGAGAGCAGACATCCTTATCTTGCTCCCTATCTTAGAGGGAAAGCACTCAGTCTTTCACCATTTAATACAGTGTTATCTGTGGGTCATTTGTCCATACTCTGTATAAAGTGGAGGAAGTTTCCCTCTATTCCTACATTATTGAGGGTTTTTTTTTTTATCCTGAAAGGGTTTATATTTCTGCACCAATTAAAATGATAATATTATTTTTTTACTTGGTGGATTACCTTGGTTGGTTTTTCAGTGTTGAATCAGCCTTGCGTCCCTGGAATAAACCCCACTTGGCCATGATATGAACATGTCTACACTCCACATATTTTGATAGACTGTGTTCTCATGATTATTACTCAGGTCAAAAATATTTTATAATTCCCTTTGTGAAGTCTTCATTGATCTTTGGATTATTTATAATCATGTTTGAATTTCAAATATTGGAGGATTTTCTGATATCTTCCTGTTATTTGTTACTAATTTAATTCAGTTGCCAGCAGTGACCATATTCTGTATGATTTTAATCCTCTTATATATTTTTTAAACTTGTTTATACTTAGAATATGGTTGAATGTTAATGAATGTTCCATGTTCACTTGAGAATAATATTTATTCTGCTGTTGTTGGTCGAATTGTTCCACAAATTTCAGTTAGGTCGAGTTACTTAATAGTGTTGTTCAGGTTTTGTTTTTTTAATTGATATGCTTTATTTTTTAGAGCGGTTTTAGGTTTAAAAGAAATAGTAAATTGAAAGTACAGAGAGTTCCCATATATATCCCTCCCCCCAACAATTTCCCCTATTGTTAACATCTTGCATTAGCTTGCTACCTTTTTTAAAATTGTGAGCCATTATTAATACATTAACTAAAGTCCATAGTTTATATTAGGGTTCACTCTTTGTATTGTACATTCTGTGAGTTTTGACAAATGCATAGTGACATGTATCCACCATTATAGTATCTTACAGAATAATTTCACTGTCCTAAAAATCCCCTGTGCTCTGCCTGTTCATCCTTGCCTTCTTCCCTCTGAACCCCTGACAACCACTGATCTTTTTACTGTCTCCATAATTTTGCCTTTTCCAGAATGTCATACAGTTGGAATCATATAGTATGTAGCCTTTTCAGATTGGCTTCTGTCACTTAGCAATATGCATTTAAGTTTCGTCCATGTCTTTTTGTGGCTTGGTAGCTCATATATTTTTATTGCTGAATAATATTCCATTTATGGATGAACCACAGTTTGTTTATCCATTCACCCTTTGAAGGACATCTTGGTTGCTTCCATGTTTTGGCAAGTACAAAACTGCTATAAACTTTTGTGTGCAGACGTTCATGTGTTAACGTTCAGGTTTTTATATCCTTACTAAATTTTTGTCTAACTTGCTCCATTAATTATTGAGTGAGGAGCATTGAAATCTACAACTATAATTGCAGATTTGTCGATTTCTCTTTTCAGTGTTGTCAGGATTTGCTTCAATCATAATGAAGCAATATTATTGGGTACAACATATTTAGAATTTCCGTGACCTCTTGATAAATTAATTCTTCTATCATTATAAAAATGTCTTTCTTCTTCTTTAGTAATCTTGCTTGTTCTGAAGTATTCTTGTCTAATATTAATATAACCACTCTGCCTTTCTTATGATTATTGTTTTCCTTGGTATATACTTTTCTACCCATTGAGTTTAGCCTATATGTGTCTTTATACCTAAAGTCAGTTTCCTGTGCAGAATATATATTTGGGTCTTGCTTTTTCATCCAGTCAGGCAATCTAGCCTTTTAAATGGAGTATTCATTACGCTTATGTTTAATGTAATTTTCACCAGAATTTGGTTCAAATTTTCCATTTTGTTATTTGTTTTCTATTTGATTGTGTCTCTTGTTTGCATTTTTTCCTCTTTTCCTGCCTTCATCTGAATTACTTGAACATTTTCAGTAATTTATGTTTTCTCCTCTGTTTGCTTGTTGGTACACTTTGTTTTATTTTTACTAGTTTCTCTGAATTTTACATACTATATTTTTAACTTATTGCTATCTACTTCCAAATAATAATTTAGCACTTCACATATAAATATAAGAATCTTACAACAATCATATTCCATTTTCTTCTCCCTTTTGTGTTATTTTTGTCATATACTTTATTGGTACATATCATATACATTCCATAATATATTTATCTTATTTTAGTTTTAAAAGTAATCTGTCTAAAATATTGAAAATGGAAAAAAAAGTGTATTTACTTACATATTTACCATATATGGTGTTCTTTATTCCTTTGCACAGATTCAAGGTTCCATCTGGCCTCATTTTCCTTCAGTCTGTAGTATATTTTAAAAAAAAATATTTCTTGTATTTCTGGTCTACTGGCAACAAACCATTGCAGGCTTTCTTGAATACTAAAGTATTTAATCATTATTCTGAAGGCTGTTTACATAGAATATCAAATTCTAGTTTGACAGTTTTGTATTCTTAGCACTTCAAATATGTCTTTCCATTGTAACCTGGTTTGCACTGTTTATGATAAGTAATCGATGCATTGTGATTTTTACCTGTGTTTTCCTTTATGTCTTGTGTCATTTCTCCAGCTGCTTTTGTGATTTTCTCTTTATTATTAGTTTTCAGATATTTTGTCATTATGTACTTTGGTGTGGTCTTACTTCTGTTTATCCTGCTTGGCTTCATTAGTCTTCTTGAATCTTTGTGATTTTAGTTTTCCTTAAATTTGGAAAATTTTCTTTCATTATTTTTCAAATACTTTTTCTATTCCCTAATTATAGATATAGTAGATATCCTGATATTGTTCCACAGATCACTAAGGTAGCTCTTGATATTTTCTATTTCTATGCCAGCCAACTCAATGATCTTTTCTTTTGCAGTGTCTAATTTGTGGTTAATATCAAACAAAATTTTCATTGAGAAATTGGATTTTTTTAAATCTCTAAAAGCTTCATTTGCCATCCTTTATATCTGCCATGTCACTTTTCATTATATTAATATTTTCCTTTAAATTCTTGGGTATATTTATAACAGCTGTTTTAAGTCTTTAGATGTTAATTTCACCTTGGATGCTGCTGTAATTTCTGGGTCTGTTCCTACTGACTATTTTTTTTCTCTTGATTATTGATCACATTTTCCTAACATTTTTGTATTGCTAGTAATTTTTTATTAGATGCTGGACATTGTGAATGTTTTGTGGTTGAATATTTGGATCATGTTTTGTTCCCTTAAAGGGTGCTGGATTTCATTTTGGCAGGCAGATCATCTTCTCTTTTGCTTACCTTTAGACTGTATCAGGCATGTTTACAGTAGGTTTTACTCTAGGGTTATTTTATTACTAATCCTAAAATAGTTTCCTTCTGAGAACTGAATGCCTTCACTGTTCAAGGAGGACTCTACAATTTGGCTGATGAAAACGGAATGATTTCCCACCTGTGCAAGCTGTGGAAATTTTTCAACTTTAGCTCCCCAGTTATTCAATAGTTGTTGCTTGCTGGGTTTACATATGTGAATAAGGACAAATATGCTAATTATTTTGTAGAATCTTCACTATCCTTACTGATATTTTTCTGATAATACTATTAGTTACTCAGAACCTTATAGTATTCTTTCTCAATACGATTGTGTATTTTTTTGACTTGTCCTTTTATTCTGATTTTTATTTTTTACTTTATTGGTGCATATAAAGGATTATGATACCATCCTGATGTATTGATATTTTTTCTTTATTACATGTCCCTCTTTATCTATATAAATACCCATTGCCTTGAATTATACCTTGTTTGATATTTAAAAAACAGTACCAGCTTTCTTATAGACACATTTGCATAATATACTGCTTAACATTCTCTTAGGTTCACCCTTTCTCTGCTCTTTATTTGATGTGAATCTCATAGAACTATTTTATAGTTTTACTTTTACTTCGAATACTGAGGTACAGAGTGGAGATTTAGACCCAACTAGAAGCAACAGTTTCCAACACCTTAACTCTTAGAGCCTGAGCTATATTGCTTCCCTAATATTGCAAGTTCTCTCTCTTCTCTGTCTCCATATTCTCTTTGGCTGATCCCATCCACTTCTGAAGTTGTCACTACAGTCTCAGTGATGAGGGCACTCAATTCAACATCTCTAGCCCAGACTGCTCTCTAGCCCTACAGACTTTTGTCCAGTTCTCTAGTGAAACTCTCCTTCTGAATGTCTCAAGGGTACTTCAGTCTCAACAGGTCCAAAATTTGTTCCCCCATTAATCAACATTCACCCTGTTTCTCTGCCCCAGGATTCCTGCTCAGTGATGCTCAAGCTGCAGCATTGGCTCTGGTCACAAGGTGGCCCTTTACTCTAAACTTTTTAAGGCTCTCCAGTAGCCATCCAAGTTTTGTTAAAGGAGAAAAATCCATCATCGTTACTTAAAACAAGTTCGGAAATATTTACTGCAGAATACCTATTCATTTTTGAAAATGTGTGTGGATCAAAAACATTGAAGGAAATTACTTGGCACATTTCTCTCTCGTGGAATGTGTGTTCATATAACAAATGTCTGTCTTCTCCCAATGCTGAGAGGTGTCTTAATTTTCTACTGGATAGCTTTTCTCTGTGTTCCAGCTTCTGCTTCTTTGTAGTTTCTGCTCCCTCCTAACTTCATCTTTTCATAACTTGGACTTATTATGATGACCACTCAAGTCCTTAATATCAAGGACTCCACATTTTTTTCCTTCGTTTTTTTCCTTGATGATTCCCACCATAAATTGCCTGATTATCTCCATTATGCCCAGTTTTATTCAACATGAAAGAAAACACAATTCCTTTTAGAAGAAACATTAGGGTTGGGATTTGCCACTACTAAAATATCTAAAAAGTCAACACAATTTAAAAATTATATTTCAGAAAATAGGTAGCTGTCTCCAGCTGTTCCAAATATAATTTTAATAGATTTGTTATTTATTTTATTGAGAGGCTGAGAGCACTGATTCTGGAGCCCAACAGTTTTGGCTATATCCAAGTTTTGCAACTTACCAGGTGTACAACCTCAGGTAATTTGCTTAACCTCTATGTGCCTCAATTTCCTCCTATGTAAAGTGGGGACATTGATAGTATACCCCTCACAGCTTTGTTTTGGGGAATAGATTGATTAGTACCTATAAATAGCTTAGACCACTAGAATATGTTGTGCACCAAAAGTATGTTATGAATATTGCTATTATTGCTATTATTTTCCGCATATTTCAAATTGACATATATATTCAGAATTGCTTTAATGGCCATGATATTGGAAGTGTGCAAAAATTTAAAATATGAAAACCTGACATTGAAGTAAATAACAACAGAAAAATCACCTTTAATCACAAATTTATTGCCAAATGTTATCAGTAATGAGTTTTATCAACACAAATAATTCATAGTCAATCTATAAATCAGAATTGGGGTGAGTTTATTATATGAGCCTGTTTTGAGGACTATAGCCCTAGAGAATGCTTCCACCAAGGAAAGAAACTCTCCAAAGAAGTGGTATACAGAGTGGTTATATACCATCTTGAAACAAGGAACATACATCACATATGATAGGAATGTCTCTTTTACTCCTGTCACAAGATGCTTTGCTAGCACAGTAGGTCAGTGGTCACAAGGTGAGCACAGCAAACCAGTGGTCAGCAGGTCATTGGTCACGAGATGAGCACAGTAGGTCAGTAATTAACCGTTAGTTTCTGGGAAGAAATGCCTATCTATAAAGATAATGCTGATATAAAGGGAAAGCAAA